TTTGCTCAGGAAGATATTGGTGACGTTTTTGGACTTATTTATAAAGATGTCTTAGATAGTGGGGCAGGCAGCCTGGGACCCAGGAGCCCTTTCACTCCCCTCTCTTTTCAGATACTCAGTTTGCCTAGGGTTGGGTCAGGACTGAGAATCTCCAGACACAGAAAGAGCAAAGAGAAGTCATTTGCATGTGGCTTGGGACATGGGAACATCTGACTGTCCCTGCCTGTCTGTTTCCTTTGGCTGAGGGGCAACCTTCTGCCTGGACTTTGAGGCCTGCTTCTTGCCCTTTGACCTGTGAAACGCTTTGGTTTTTCTTCATCTTTGTTTGACTTCTTTTTCTTTAAGATTTATAGGTTTAGCTGAACTTGGGCTCTGCATGAAAAATGAAGTTTACATAGTTTATATTATGTACATAAACTAGTGATTTACATTGATTTACACATGATTGGTGCCTAATTTATTAATCAGCACACAGTATGCAAATGCGCTGAAAGGAAATCAGGATTTTAAAATAAGTTTTCCACAATATCCATAAACATTTTGCTGGTGTGAATGTTAAACCTCAAACTAATGTTAACACCAGCTGCTTGCCAAGGGGAAGGTGATGTACACCACAGGCAAAAGCAAATTCTTTCTTGAGTTTCAGTTGGTGACATTTGAACAGCATAGCTAAAGCAGATGAGAATAGTTTACTTTCCTTTCCACTGGTATGCACATAAATGTAAACTCTGTTTTGCATTTAGTGAAATGTTTACAGATACTATGTCAACCATAATGGGAAATTTACATCACTGAGGCAGATTAAGTCTTTGGAGGAGAAATAGTTCAACCACTGAGGAAAGAAAGAGACTTCCTGAACAAGGTTTGTGTTTCTTACCTCAGGGCTTTATCTCGCCATTTTTATTCTGTACTTATTTGTCTTCAGAATTTTGATAGATTTTTAGGTCAGATATAATACTGAACTTGAATCGTTATAAAAGCTAGCAGTTTGGGGGATCCAGGCTGAACGTTTATGAGGATGAAGAAAAACATGAGGACTAACATGAGGTTAGTCCCATAGCACATGGTGTTATAAGCAAATTTCTTTTAAGCAAATAATAACAAAATGGACAAAATGGGGATCCATGTCTTTCTAACTGAAGCATATCTCTTTTTTTTTCTTTTAAATAAACTAAATTCAATACTTTCCTTAAGTTTAAAGCATCGTTCTAAATTTTTTCTTATTATACATACATTATTGCAAATATAGCATTTGTAAAGATAAGATTAAAAAAAATACATACACATATATATTATTTTTTCCACAAACAATTCAAATCCTGCAAAGAACAAATGAAAAATTCAGGGAGACTAGCCAATAGAAACTGTCACAGCATAGCTGGTAGATGGACCTGTGACTCTGTAAGGAGAAGGTAAGAACTCAAACAATCTCATGCTGAGGAGTCTAGTTTCTGTGTGCAAAGGAGGTAAGTCCATCTTTGGAGGTGAAACAGACTTTTGTTTCTGTCCTCCAAGAACATGAAAATCACGAGTATTTTTACGAGGTCTCTATGAATAGCCCCAGTTGCCTGTGTAAAGAAAAAAAAAAAAATGCCCATGGCAAGGGGAAAATGTCTGACTTGGAAGAGAAGGGAAAGAGCCAATGGGCAATCCTTCTCAACAGAAAACACATCTATTTTCCATAAGCCATCATTTGGACAGAGGGGTTTTAAATTTCATAAGAAGAATGATGTTTTTCCAACAAGGCAGTCTTTTTGATAAACAATTGCACAGAGCATAAGTATAATCCTGCAGTTATCAAGCCTAGGATAGTTTTCTTTCTTTGGGAAGTGCCCTGGGTCAAGGTCATTTCTACTTTTTAAAGTGAAACCTGGGGCTAAAGAGTTTATTTCATGAGTGGTGGAATTTCACTTTGTATGCAAAGGGTATAAAATATACTAGTGGTTAAGATTAATTGATACTTTTCACTCCTCTCATATTATTTCCAGTCGGTTGGCTGAGTTCAGTACTTTGATTACTAATTGACAAGATCCTTGGAGCAGTTTATAGCAATGTGATGAACTCTCCTGCTGAAACTTGGTGTAGTAGGTCCTCTGGCCCTACTTTGTTTCTGACCTTTCTCCAAACTACATTGTCCTCAATCTCTATGTGGCTCAGCAACAGTCTCAAACCTATGATGTTTGGGGGCAATATTTTCTCTAAATAGGAACAAGGAGCACATTTTTAAGAAAATCTCAGATCCTGTTGGAGATACAAGCAAACACCACATTTTAAAATAAGTTTAATTGTTTTCTATACGGTCCAGGGTATTAGATCCAAAAGAGCAAATGGTACTGACATGGCCAAGCACTCCTTCCAATGGAGAAGCTCCTCCCATAACACCAAGCTCTTATCCTTATGATAGGATGGAGACCCTGAAGAAGGCCAGGGGTATAGTTAAAGCCTGTGGTATGCCATAGGCGTCTGTTCCTGAAACTAATTCTAAATGATACTGAATTAACTCCCATTTCTTTATTTCCTCTCTGTAAACTAGCAAGCACTCTTCCAAAGTTTTACTTAAGGGTATGGCTACCTCTTAAATATATAGGAAACATGTGTCCTTTGATTATTGTACTAATAAAACTAGACTAAAACTAGACTGTTAGAGAATTCCCTGTTTGCCAATAAATTGATGCCACGTTGGAATATGGTTCATCTTCCCTATGTTCTACTAGCTACCTTCTTGGATAAGAATCACTATCCTCTCTTTTGATTTGCCATCTTACCCATCCTGAGTCCAATCTGCTCTCTGTTCCATGTCTAAACTTCATGAAGGAAGGAGGTGACAAGTTTATGAAACAAATGATAGAATCCTCTAGAAGAAATATAAAACACTGTTCAAATTCCTTTCCTTCCCTCCCTCCCTTCCTTCCTTCCTTTCCTTCCTTCCTTCCTTCCTTCCTTCCTTCCTTCCTTCCTTCCTCCCTCCCTCCTTCTTCCTCCCTTCCTCCCTTCCTTCCTTCCTTCCTTCCTTCCTTCCTTCCTTCCTTTACTCCCCCCCTGAAGAGGTAACCCTAAAATCCTTTTAGGGGTTAGATAAGAGCTCCCAAATACTTTTGACACTTTTGGCCTTTAGAACAGAGTATGTTGCTCCTTCCTTCCTTCCTTCCTTCCTTCCTTCCTTCCTTCCTCTTTCCTTCCTTCCTTTTCTTCCCTTTGTATCACATGAAAGTCATTTCAGACATTCAAATACTTGATGAGCCATGAGATTTGGCTCTACGTATTATATTCACTTATGATCTAAACAGTAAACCCCTGTCCTTTCTTAAGCTGAACCCCTTCCATGCGTCTATAGTCTAAATGAAAGCCATTATTGATTTCCTAACAGAGATACCTACAAATAGCGAGGGAGCCTTCTCTATCAAGAACTTTCCTGGGAAAATCCTTTTGGTGATGTGATGATGCCGAGCTTGGGATGCTCATATAATTTCCAGAATCACCACAAGTTGCCCAGATCTCTTGGTGAAGGAATAGCTCATTTTTCACTGTTAGGGTCAAGATGACTCTCATAATTTTAAGTCTAAGCAAAAAAGATGAATATAATCTGCTTCTCATGGCCTGATTTAGGACAGCGATGGGCCCCTGTAAGCAATGGCGTTACACATATCCTCAAGGATCAGGACAAGCAAATTAAGCACTAGCTTAGAACTCTAGGAATAAATCCTTAAAGAACAAAGAGTTGAATTCCTTCTTGTGATGGCCAATGCTTTGCATTGGGGCTGTGACAATATCTTCATAATATGGAAAGGGACTTGGGCATCTGTCCTCTTCCTGTCTCACTCACTATATTTTATCTGAAAGAAGTGACAGTCTCTGCTCAGGAGAATTGATGGAGTAAATGCAGTGTTATTGAAGACTAGCGAGGAGGCAAGACTGGCCTGCTTGGGATCTCCAAGGGCACATCCTTTTTCTATTGGGAGTTACCTCCTGGAGACCCTCCTGTGTCTGGGAATTAGCTCAAACATGCAGCTCTTTCCTGCAGTAGGGCCCAGCCTGTAAGAAGCACGGCAATGTATGACTCCCCCAGCTTATGAAATCAGAGTAAAATCAGAAACTTTCTTTCTTTTAGGTCGTTTCAGCCAGGTCACTGATCCGTCCCCTGTCTGCTCACCCCATTGATAGTAGGCACTTTCATTTACAGTGATATTCTGAGTGACTCCCAACTGGGTTCTGATAATGGGACTAGGAGAAGTATGGGGTCCTGCCCTCCGAAGGAGCACAACTTGGTCTGAATACACACTGATGTCATGTGACAGCCATGAATGGGGGAGGAACTCTGCTCCTTGCCTCTCTCCCAGCCATCTCCCCCGGCAACTTGTTACAGCCGCATCTCACAATAACAATGCAGGACAGTTATCTACAGCACAATGAGTCTATGTACACATGGACCATTCCCTTGGCATGCTTTAGAGAGAGACACACACGCTCACACACATATACACCCACGTGAGAGCGAGAGACTTGAGCACACGCGCACAGTGAAGAAAATTAAAATGGCACTTCCTAGCATTTGCGGCGTGACTAGTGTTCTGGGGTTGCTGGGACGAAGAGAGGTGGGGTGGATAAAAAGGGGATATCTGGAATGGATGTGGTGGGGGATAGAACACACTGGAGGGAGAGGGATGACCTCAAAAGTTAGAGATCAGTCGTGGAGGCAGGGGAGCCTGAGAAAGGCTCGACACAGGTTTCCTTTGATAGTTCAAAATGGCTACAAGTCAGCTCAAATGAAAAACAGAATAAAAAGATTATGAAAATATAAACACCAAAGGCAAGACCTTATTTTTCCCCCACAGATGAAAATGGGTGAAAGAAGGATAAAGTGTGTGGGGGGAGTTAGTGTCCCTCTGGTACTTCTTCAGTTGTATTATTTGTACAACATCAGATATCCTTAGCATGATGCAGCTTTACATAGCATTCATTTTCTTAGACGATAGACACATTCTGGAAGAAGTTTCCCACCCTGAATTATACTCAAATTTTATTGATGGACTTTAAAATTGGCTTAAGCGTTTCATGTTCTTCTTCATTTTCTTATTTCCCCCTTCATTTATAAACACACAAATTTGTGAAATAATAAAAGTCTCCCCCCGTCTTGCACTCTCTCTCTCTCTCTGTATCCTGTGTGACGCATTTTTTTGTGTGTTTTTGTAATTATTTTTAGATTTTATTCTATTAACATTTGCTGAGAAGGCAGAGTAGAGATGCAGCCAGCAGCCACAGGGGTACGGCCAGACTGATGGATCCGTTGATTCCTCTCACCGACCCAGGTCCTGCAGAGCAAGAGAGAGAGAGAAAAAAGACAGAGTAAGTACCTTTTGCCCTGTCCACGTGACAGCTGACCGAGGGTCATGGCCAGGTGCAGATGGCTCAGTGTCATGCCCAGGATGGGCTCCAAACCTTCCTAAATCTTATCCTGTGTAAGGTGCAAGTATCTTAAGGGGTATGGCTTATTTGAAATCTAAAACTGTGTTCACTGGAGAAGTTCCTAAACTGGCTCTTATCACTGTCTGATGGATTACAGGCTCCTGTGGACCCACCCTCCTCTCCCGTGCTCTCCATGTGGTTACTATAAAGCCAGCTCTCATTAAGGTTCCAAGCACGGTGTATAACTTTCAGCCCAAACAGGCTCTGCCTCCTACTCATGACAGCAGATCCATCAGTATCACGTGAGACCAGTCTGATTTCTTTGTTTTATAGGGGAGAAGCAGGAATTATTTATTTATTAATTAGGCAGGGAATTGTTACAAGGTAGTATTTAGGGATGGGTAGTTCCTTAACAAGGTAAAAGGAAAGTTCTAGAGTCTTAGGAAGAAACAAAGATCACCTTGCCCAACATTTTAGAAATAAAAAAAAAAAAAAAAAAAAAAAAAAAAAAAAAAAAAAAAAAAAAAAAAAAAAACCAACCAACCAACTTGGTGAGGTTCAGAGGTATGTCCAAAGCTGGAACAGAACTGGGATGGGAACTGAGCTAGAATTGATTCTAGTATGGTAATTTGGGTTTCCTGTCTACCACTCTGTTATTTCCACTGCAGATACAATGTGGGGGAAGGATATATGTTTGGATCTGAGGAGGACAGTGGGTGGAGTGGAGAGGGAGGAGGGGCTTGTATGCTGATGACCTGAGCAGGACTGAGGTAGAATTTGTAGGTCTGACTCAAGAGCTTGCCCGTTATCTTCAGCTTGTCTTAGTTCCTTTTTTTTTTTTTTTTTTTGTATAGCAGTATTCATATTTCATTAAAAGAAAAAAAAGACTTTTTTTTTTTTCACTCTGACATTAAGGCTACATGCTTATACAATGATGCTCAAAATGGAAACTGGGATGACTAATTATGGGTTACTTTGAAGTTTTCAGGGCATATATGCAGATCTTAGGTGAGTGCCTGTGTGTGCAAAGTTGTGATGGCTTGCAACTACTGTGGAAGCATCCTCTGGTATGTGACTTTTCCAAAACTGGTTGAAACCTCAGATTGCAGGGAGTATAACAGGGGAAAAGCTGAAATCAAGAATGGCCTCTAATCTGTGCTCTGTTTAAATAAGAAAAACAATGACAAGAATAAAATAAAACCAGGAAACAATTGTAGGACACCACAATGTTCTGTTAACACTCAGCTGTGCTTTGATGTGCCTACTATAATGAAAACTACTTTCCAGTGAAAAATCAGAGGCACATGGAAATTACATCCATAGTACAAGTTTCTATCACTTGTCAGCTGAGGGGCTGAAGTTTTCACTTTGGCATCTGGCTCAAGAGTCTTTGTCCCCACAACACAGTGAAGTGCAACCGTGAAATGCAGCAGTGAATGTCGTGATCAAACATTTGGTGAGTGAAATTCAGATCTGATGAAACAGTGACTAGCCTGGACAAAAACCACAAGGAGACATCTACTGTCTTCCAGAAATGAGTGACGGAATACGTTGGCTAGAATGCCAAAGAATACTACTAAATATGAAAATATGAACATATGCAAACTTTGAGCTCTAGTATGCAAAATGAGCTGTATTGGTGTAAAGCCATGGAAACAGAATAAACAGATTAAACATTAACCAGTTATGATCAAACTACTACTTCTGAGGTTTCCTGACTGGCTATGGCATCATATAATAAGAGGAAGACCGACTACCTTCAAGTCCAGCCTCATGAGGGGCAAAGGCTCAAGGAGATTAAACATCTTGTACAAAGCACCTGTAGTAATTATTCATCAGTCTCAGGTGTCCTGAAACTTCATGCAATGTCCTTTCTGACCTTGTCGTGTCTCTCCTAAGCTATTTGGATGCTTGGGACTGCCAGCCTCCCAGGACTCTTGTGCAATAGCAATCAGCAAGGCTTCAAAACAGAGTAAAAGTCACACAAAATTTAAGGTCTTTCACAGTTAAGCAAAAATGATTTCTATTTTACCCCCAGAAAAAGCCCAATTTTGCTTATTTCAGCACCACGATTTTTAGTGCTTGGGACAGGCTAGGTTTTTTGTCTGACATCTTAGAGCTGAGTGGTATCTATGGATGGCTAAGAAGACAGTTGTATCATTTTATTTGAGTGGTAGTAAATATTTAAGAAAACAAATAATGCAACACTAAAAAGTATAATAAATATATGAATCTAGATTAACATCTAAACATGTCAATATCTAACATTTTTGCTAATGCTTATATGTTTATCTGTTACCTGTCTATCTATCCTCCATCTATCCATCTGTCCACACATAGGGAAGGTTACATGCTGTATAGATACTCGCCTATACAAATATGAGATATATGTATATTACTAATCTTTCAAAAGACATACTACAAGATTAACTGTTACTTTCACATGCTATTCTAGGTTATAATATGAAATCCCACTATGCATGCTAATAGTTATATATTTTATTCCTAACAGTATTATTATATATTGAAATGTGTTGTGTACTTCTGTGAAGATACCTTTGCCTCTATCAATTATTATTTATTAAGTGCTCTCAGATAGCTATTTAATGTGCTTATGTGACTTGCTCTTGTTATAATTGGTTTTGAGAGTAAATAAACTGACTTGAGAAATACCAGGGTAAATGGGTGAGATTTGGGGACTCATCATAGGTTGCATATGCAATCATACACACACACACACACACACACACACACACACACACATATATATATATATGTATATATATATATATAAAACAGGAATGGCTATTTCAGGGAAGAATAATCATCAAAATCATTAATTATGTTTAGTTAATAGTTATGAAATTTCTGCTTATTTGTGGAAATGAAAATGATAAATCTTACTTCCTATGCCAGATGGCCAAGCTCAGCAAGTGCTTTCATATACTGACAGATATAATGAAAGCAAGAGTCTGCAAACATAAATTAGCCTTAAGAATAGATGGGCAAATAGAGCCATGATTCGAAAACTGACTACATGGTTTTCATATCACAGACAAAAACCATATCATGGTATTTAACTACTTCCTTTATGTCAGTTACACACATACATACATATTGATACATGTGGTACTTGGTAAATAGTAAATGTTATTATTATTTACAACATAGAAATTTGGTTTACAGAACTAAATGAAATATCAACCTGTGTCAAAGATATTTGTTTGTGAACTAGATTAAAGTTTTAAAAATTGATTGATTGATTGATTGATTGATTGTGTGTGTGTGTGTGTGTGTGTGTGTGTACATGTATGCTATGGAGTGTTTGTGGCTGTCAGAGGACAATGAGTGGAAGCCATTTCTCTCCCACCATGTGGATCCCAGGGTTGGAACTTGGGTCTCAGAAGCAGGTATTTTCCCCATGAACCATCTTGCTTGTCCTACACCCAGGCTTTTAATGTTTGAACCTAAAGGGCAATATATAGCTACAGCAGGACAATAGAACATGAGTCAGCATGCAAGATCAAGGGTCTCAGCTTCAGGTCTTTACTAAGGTGAACACTACATTGAACCTTGCCATGGACATGTTTATAAAAGGGAAAAACTAGCACTTAAGGGTAGAGTTGATCAAAAACCCTGAAACTGAAGCACATGAGTTTTTGGCAAGTCAAATATGATGTGGGATTCTGAGTAAATTGATTTGACTTTTAGTAAAAACTCAAAGGACAAGGTGTTTTCCTTGAAACATTTGTTTTTGGGAGTAGTGTTTGGAGATACTTTTGACTTCAGACCAGCAGTTTTCTGTTATTTCTTCTTTGGGACTGGATTAATTCAAAGTCATTTCCAACCATGCTCTCAGTGATCTCCCTGTGTTCCTTTCAGCTATCTTTATACATAACAAAGAATTGTTTTTGAAATTGTTAAAGGCTGATGAAATGACTCAAAATAAAAGAAAAATTTAAAAATTATTGAAAAAATGTCGAATAATGGAGAGCAACAGTGCACAGAATCTCCTAAATATCTCTGTTCTGTGCGATTTACAGGTTCTGAGAGGAAGGCGTGTTGATGTCCTGGAAAGACACAGTGAAAAGGAAGCACGACAAGAATGACTTTGGCGCCACCTCCTGCCCACTTGCTGCTACTACAGCTTCTTCTGCATGATTGAAATGGGGATTCAAGGCTTTATAACCTCCATGTTGGAGCAGATGAGAGAGAAAATACAAGTATTCATGCACTATCTTCACTTTCTATAAAGTGAGATTTTTGGTATTCTCCTAACAAAGTTTAAATCATCATATCTTTTCCCTCAAGAAGCATCGAGTAAATGCCGGATATAGTAGTGCATGCCTGCAGTCCTGGAAGAGAAGCAGGGATAAGGAGTTCAAAGTCAGCTTGATCGATGTGAGATCCTGTCTCAAAACACAAAACAAAGCAAAAACAATATCAAGTACATTTGGCCCACATTAGAAAAAATTAGTTACAACTTTTGGCCGATTTGGTGCTATATCTTGATGGTATTTGCAATAAGAAAAAAATGCTATACTTTATTTCATCATCCACATCAAAACTCCAAGGTTTTACATGTACCACCAGCCAAATTAATTGATAATGTGTAATCATGGAATTGGGTAGAAAATGGCTAAAGAGAGCAATATTTTATGTCTTCTTGTCTCAAACAGTCCTGCTCCCAAATGAACGTTCCTAATGCCCCGTTGTTACTGCAGTATTTGAGGACCTGCTAAGGTAGGCTAGAAAGAGGGCGCAGGACCTTTCTTAGAAGTAAGCGTCAAAGCATCCACAGTACCTTTCTGGTTCATGCATGCTGGCAGGGTCTAAATCCCAAGATAATAGGTTTTTGCTATTGATAACGATCACGTTGGTCTCACCCCTTTTGTGACCCAGAAAGGGTGATATTTTCACAAAACGCCAGTAAAAACCAAGAGGATGCCCATGAGGATTTAGGGAAGGTGACAACTTTCACCACCAGCGCTTCTGTGGTGCTTATTTGGAGAATATTGCATGGTGCTATAAGGAATTATTGCATGGATTTGTTGGGAGGGTGAGTCAGAATTAATTGTTGCTTGCATTTTAGGATCCGTTTTATGAAGCTTTGACTGGCTCTCACTGCTCTTGAATGCGGACTGTGTGTCACAGGGGTGATGGAAGCACATGGAGTTCATGAAATGACATTTCCTAGGAGGGTCGGAGGTGCTGCTTTACCCGCAGCAAGTGAGGCCTTAGGAAGATCTGAGAGTAAGGCTGGATAAAGGAACCACTCACAAGTTTCACTGTAGGGGCTGCTGCTCTAGTTATTATGCCTGGTCTAGGTGTTGGAGTCCAGCAACACATTTACTTGAATGGTCCACAAGTAACTGTGAAATCACCTCTTTATCTCTTCTGAGACCTTTGCCATTGGGAAGTGGGCATTCTAAAAAACGTGCAGCTCTATGGAAGTTAGCCACTGATGCATAAGATGAGCAATGTAAGAAATGGGGAGAGGAGAACTGGGTGGGAAATAACTTGCTTAATTCAAGGATTTCATTTTTGTTTTTATTTTATGTGTATGAATGTTTTGCATGTAAGTATGTAAGTACACCACATGTGTGCAATGCTTGCAGATGCCAGAAGAGGGCATCGAATCCCCTGAAATTGGAGCTGCAGATGATTGTTAGCTGCGATATGGGTACTGGGAATTGAATTCAGGTCTTCTGCAAGAGCAGGCCAGTGTTCTTAAACACTGGGGCATCTCTCCAGCCCCATTTCCAAAGATTTTAAAGTGAATCACTGTATATAATGCACTACAAAGGTGATGGGTCAGATCAGGGTCTTTTTGCTAATAAAAAAGTTTGAAATATGAAAAAAATAATGTCAAACGTGTAATGGAGATTGTTATCACAAATTCTTGAGCTAAATTAAACTTGAGTACATAATACCACCATATATTATTGTGAGATTTTAAATAACATACAGAAGGTAATCAGAAATAAGAGCCATACCTTTTTGCTTGAAGTGCACGGTGGTGCCAATTTCTAAAAAAGAAACATTTAGCAAAACAAAACAATAAAAAAATGCTTTATCAATTGAAAATAAACATGATGGTAGTTTAGTACTTTCCACTAAAAGGAAAGTGAGAATATGGGGCATTTTAGTAGGAACAGAGATTGATAAAGACTGAATAAAAGGCAAGTGGAAAGAGACACTTTTGGTCTAAATGTGTGATTGGAGGTAGCAAAAATGATTGACAACTACCAAGACTCAGTACTACATGCCATGCTTATAGACAAATGCAAGAACTCCAGTGTGGGATGAGAAAGCGCCTTTGACTGCACTGCATGCAACCATAGAATGTGTCTGCTCCTCAGGCCCATTCTGCCGTTTTACCCCCAGTACACTCCGCTCAAGTCAATTGATCTGTCACATTTCATCTAGCAGGCAAAAGTCCACTCTCCTTTTAAGCTTAAAACCTTCACACTTGCTAATCGTCTGCTAGAAATAGTCTCCTAGATCTCTGTATTGTTCACACAGTCATGTCATTCAGATAAAGATTGCTGCTGAGAAGTCACCAATACAGGCAGGTCTGCCCCATCACGTCTTCAAAAACAGTACCCTTTGCCATTTTCTCTGTTCTTTCACTGAGCATCACTAGATCAAGCCTCTGCCAACATCACATCATACTTGCTTGCTTGCTTGCTTATGGTTTGTCCCTTCCATTAGAATATAAGCTCACAAGGGCAACAACAGTACATGAGACAGGTACTAATCTCTAGTGCTTATGTTAGACCGTGAGATGCAGTAGATTTCACACACACTGTTCCATATATAAATGCATGTCAAGACTGAACGAGATTTGACAGGTCAAATAATTGTATTTCTTTTTAAGTGTATTTGTCAAATCAAAATTCTCTTGGATTTCTAGAAGTTAATGTGTGAAATATCTATTGGATGTCATTTTATATCTCAAGACCAACTTAACGACTGGTTAGATATGGAAGCTGACAGTGGCTGGTGGCTGTGGGATTTAGATTTTCTTCTCCTGGTCCATCAGGACACAGCCCTGCTCTGGTATGATCTCACCGAAGAAGTGAAATGACTGCCTCCTTCAGCCACAGAAGAGCTTTTCTCACCAGACAGTTGTCATCTTATGGCCTTACTTGAAATTCATTCCTGGTTTCTTGTGGGTTCTGAAGTGAAGAGACATCCATAGCCTGGTGTCTGTGGCTCTCTTAAACACCTTCGCCCCTCTAGTCAGCGCAACATCTATCATCTCGCAGGCTTTGTCTCCCTGGGGGTTTATGACCCAGTGATCTATAGCTCACTGATTTCAGAATTGGGTTGTCAGTTCCAAAGGGGTGTGAATCTTTCTTGTTCTCTTTGATAAATTCCAGTCTCCTTATTACAAGGTTTTTTTTTTTTTTATTACACTCATCTTAGCTTTAATTTCCAATGTGATTGATGTTATGATTATTACATGTCTTCCTCACTGGGCTCTGGGGTCCATGGAGTCTGGAGCTGTGTCTGTCATTATTTGATATTGGATGACAAGCACTGTGAATATACAATGTTCCAAACAGAAGATCTAGAATCATTGAAGCATGAGAAAAGTATACATGTGCCAAAGTGCTTCTGACCTAGAAAAATAGGGAATTAGAGTAGCTAAATTCTTTCCTCTCTGATTTAACACAAAGGGGTCAGTTCTTTGAAATCAGGACTGCAAAGTCACTAAGGTTCAACAAAACCTATTAATCTCCTCCTAGATCTTGCATCTGTCCATCTAAAGTAGTCAGGAGGAGAAGCCCTCAAATAGTACAACATTTCTAGCATCCATATGGAAGCTAGCAGAGGGGCACAGCTGTCCCAGCGTCTGGAGCCTGCAAATGTTTAGCTATAGTTTACAGTAGCAAAACTTTGCCAGCCAGCCTGTTCCTAAGAGCAGGCTCTGTCTATGGGTAAGGACAATTTCCCTACACTGGTCAGCCAAGAAGGGAATCTCGGGTTGACTGTTCTTTTGTATTGTGATTGCTGGTGCAGTCCAGGGTGCACTTCTGAGGGTATTTAAAGACATCAACACCCTCCCCACCCTTGTGTATTTGAAGAACATTACCTGTGAATATTCTAGTTAACAAATGCATCATACTGTAAGTTCATATAGAAACATGGAATACATTATTTTCCCCAGCAGGAACCAGCCTGTGTGGTGAGCCGGGCATCTGAGATTGAAGTCAGGTTCTCTTGGTGTGCATTACACTGGTGTCCCCTGTTGACAGCATCCTCTGTACACCTCATCATCTGACCACTGTCATTTTGATTTTATGTTAAACTCGTCACTACATACCTTTCACAATAGCTGCTTTGGCATTTTCGTTGAAATTAACATACTGCCTTAATATTGTTGAAAAGGCACTTCAGAGAAAGTATACATCACAGCATGAGGAAAGAGCAGACAAGCACAGGGTTCCTTCTTCGGTGGACCCACGCCAGTGTTTGCCAGTGCCCCGCTGGTACCTACTTCTACACAAGTCTTCTGTAACTCTAGGGTGTCACTGGGATCCATACTTGATGCAATCCTGGTTGGAAAGGATTGATTGTTTTTTTCACAAAGTACATCTTTCTTCTTCCCTCTGTCAAGCCTCTTGGCTTAGCAATCTTTAGAATTTATGGAGACCTTCAGGTCAGAGTAATGCTCTTATACCCAAAGGAGGCTATTCCCTTGAGGGGCCTATCTTCAAGCAAAGAAGAATAGGTTTTTCTTTTAAAAATACAGTCTGGTTCAGCTACGTATGGTGGTGCAGGCCTTTAATTCCAGCACTTGGGAGGCCGAGGGTATCTCTGTATCTCTGTGAGTTCAAGGCTATCCTGGTCTACAAAGTAAGTTCCAGGCCAGATGGGGCTACAGGCAGGCCTACCCTGTCCAAAAAAAAAAAAAAAAAAAAAAAATTCTGGTCCACGTGATTTTTGGGAACAAGTTTAAGCTATTTTTCAGGCCAGACATAAAGGCCAATAATTCTGCTTAAACTAAAAAATGTTCCTTAACTATTTAATACCTCATTTTTACCTTCTGTAAAATGAATTTAGCATTTAGCATGACATAAATCTGACCCTTGGGTTAGAAATATCACTCAACCTTGCATGCAGTAAATGCTCAACTAAATAAGAGTGGCTGTCATTTTTGTTGTGAAATCCTTCTAGAGAGGATTATTAGCGCAATTTTTTTGGAGAAAAAAAAGATGTCTTGATGTATAAGCCATGGAAATAGAGGTATGTCAACAATATAATGCATGAAACATTAGGCAATTCTAACATATATGAAACAGATAGGGAAGTAGGCTGATTAGGCAGCACCTTACATAGGCTAACACTGGCAGTATTCAGGAGCCAGTCACTGTCACAGGCTCGGTAAGAGTCTGCAAGTTCCAAATGTATATGCTAGAGAACTGACTTGCCCCTGCTCATCAATTAAAGAGAGATTATGAAAAGACATAAAAACACTACCAAAAATTTCACTCCGTGAGGTAAATATCAGAAAAATATTTATTTGTATTTATGAAACAATTTTTAAAAACTGAATATCTGGTTACTTTAGATACTTTTTCCTATTTCTGCAATAAATTGAGTTTCTTTGAGAAACATTAAAAATATTAAAACTGAAATTCCATTTGCCTTTGCGAAAGTGGAATATAATTATGATTTTTGTATAAGTATTTCTGACCTATCCTCTTCTGAAGCAATGGACCTGGTAATTTTGAGTTTGAAAACCTGGTTATGTGCCGCCATCTTGTGGTCATACTAGGACATGTTCCTAAGTGCGGTCCAAAGTAATCAGTTCTGTCCACCAGGTGGCGATAGTGAGAGAAATAGCACTTTTGTCAGCGTTAGAGCAGGCATGAAATATTACTCTTCAAAAGGGATCTCCCTATTCTAGACATTTTAAAAGTCTGGTCCATAACAACTGAAAGTCATCTCATTGTGTAATTAAAGGTGGTCTGTTCTTGACAAATACTCTGAACACAACCATGGGGATATGCCTGCAGCCTATGAGTTTTATGTCTTTCATGAAAACTTCTCCCTACATACGGCTCTTGCTTCGGCAAGTACGTTTAACGAGAAAGCAGTGCAGTGAGGGTTAGAGGCATAAAAGGACACATCTGCAGTAATACAACAGATAAAACACTGGAGGATTCTAGTACCAATAATGTTCTAGACGTTCTCAGTGAACACTGTTGTCAAGTGCTTTCATCTGAGCGCCTGGTGAGGCGGAAGAAGGGAAACTATTTAACACTAAGAAAGACAAGTACTTGACAAATTTATTTATCCTCATCTATCTTTGACTTTAACTTTCATATTTTGGTACTCAACTACATTAGACAAAACTGCATCATCAAAAATATGGATGAGCCTATCTTCTAGGCATGGATGATATATCTCTTGTTGACTACTATGTTCTCAGATTGCTATTTCTCTATCACAGAGTAAGTATCCAAAAAATTGGCTCGACATAGATCTATCCCAGCATGTGAGTGAATGAATCAGTTAATACCTAGGTAAGGTATCTAGGAAGGACAGGTTGTGATTTTTTGGAAGCACAATGCCTCAACTCAGAAGCAAGTCTATTGTTGGGTGTTCAGTCATTTGAGGAGTTACATGCGGTCACGAGATCTGGTCATCTGCCCCCAAATTTTGGAAGGTGGAAAAATTTCCAGAATGTTGAGTATTATTTAAACTATCTTCATGACTCAAGAAAATTTAAATAGAAATTTAAGTCCCTTTTCAAAGGACAGAAAACACGCTCTTTTCTGCCACTGGTCTTTTTCTCCGTGATCTCTTTCTTCCTCTCTCGTTCCTTGTTCTCATCTCTTTGCTGTCTCTGCCCCTCTCTTTTCCTAAAGTCAGCGTTGCAAAGCTGAGAATTGTTTTGTTGGAAGCTTGTTCTATCTAGGGGATTTTCCATTGTCTTAGGAGATTTTCTTATTGGATATATGAAGTTTTATAATAGAATTTTCTTATTGGATATAAAAAGTATTGTCATTTGTGC